TAATAGCACATTCCGTATAATATGTATTCTTGTCCGGATTTCATTTTCGTTTATTGTCTACTAACATTGATGGACGGGGCAAAGCACAGCGTCTCTGTAGATGCAGACGCTCAGGTATACAAGCCAGATTCCGTCACAATATGAATATCTGGTCTAAATATATCCCCCTCCACTATGCGTAGTTGTGCTCATGTACTGTAGGGTTAGAAGCTATTACTAAACTATCCATGGATGTGATTTGCTCACAGGTGTCACGTTTTTCATGAACCTCGCGGCGGTTTTTTCATCATTCCGAATCAAAAACATAAGATTCTCGGAAGAAACAAGAGGTAATTGTAGGGAGTTAAACAATGCTGTGAGGTAATATCCTCACGTATCTGAAATCATTGTAGTCCGAATTAAATTCGTCGGCTCTTTCTACAATAGAAAACCCTATTTGAAAATAATTTCAGCTTCAAGTGCCTACCTGTGGTCTTTTGAACCAACACGGTCACATAAAAACCGAGTCTCAGGGCTGTTGGCCACACTGCCAACAAACGTGACCACCCTGTAACGAATTAGTACGTAGAAAGTCTTGTATGCATAAAGCAATCAGCCTTAATTTCGCAGGTTGAATGCGTATTTTGGTGGTGAACGGGTGATTGATCTGGGCGAAAAAATCGTAATCACAAACAAGCTAAATGGCACCGTTTGCATCTAGCTGATGCTCTGAAGTACGCCAGTGAAGCATCCGTGTTGAGCACTGATTTCATGCTGTCGATAATGACGATGATGACGCGCTGGGGCATCAGAAGGTCTGTCAGCTCGTCATGTTCCCTTATTCTACAGAGCTGAACATATGGGGAGTTCTGCGGAACCTCTATGTAACGTACTTCGGAGAATCGCCACTGCTCGAGAGAAACCTATAACAATTTTAACGCCCGAGTCATTTTGAATTGTCTGTACAGCTTCGCACTGATCAGCGTTTCATCCGTTGATGATGCCTCGTGCAAAATTGTAAGTGCTTTTCACATGTTACACGTTACAGCGCGATTACTGGCAATGAAACAATGATCACACTTATCAGCCATCTGGCTGGTTGATCTGCAATGAAGAAAGGATAATATTGCTGTCAAGACTAAACAAATACTAAATTGCTTATTCGCGTCCGGCAGACGAACAACCGATTGCCAAGCGAGGTAGGGGATATCTACCTGCGGTTTAGCAAAGAGCAGAGAGAAAAGTTAGAGTATTGTCATGCCGTATCGGTTGTAGTTTTGTGTCATCAAACTGACCAGATCATTTGCTACATACAGAGGGTGGAGTACGGGTAAATTCAGGCTATTGCCGATGCATTTTTCTTTCTCTTGCATTTAACTGTTTTCTGATGTTAAAAAAGGCGGTCATGAAGAGGGTCTTCAACCC